CCCATACTAGGTCAGGTCTTACGATGGTCTTCGTTAACACCCGTATCTAACAGCATCCTACACGTTTTCCTAAATACAGTGCCATCTACATATGTATGAACTATTTGGTTGATGCTTAAGCAACCTGACCTGCAGTCTCTGGAGCATAACTTAGATAAGTCGATGCTCGCCTTTCCATAAACCCTTTCTAGTTTTCCTGATTATTGGTCGCGGCACTGTCGGGGCAATTTATTCTAATGTGTCCGTGTTTACCACAGCCTCAGCATCGCAGCCTTCGTCATTTTGTCCGTTGCTACTCCAACTGCTCTAATATTTTCACTATTTCTTTCATATTTGCGACCGTGATGCAATTTGCTCGAAATCCCTTTGCTGGTGTTCTTGAATCATACGCAAAACATCCAACGCATCTCCACGTAAAGCAACTATCAGGAAAGTTGCCGTCTCTTCCAGTGTCCCCTTATTTGTATCTGCGGTGACCTCAAAGTAGGTGGACCACTGTGATTTTCCATCGAATGTCGGTGGTTTAACTCGAACTTTCTTCGTACTAATACGATTCGGCGGCTTCTTTGCGGGACGATTGTGGAACGGTAGATCTTGTGTGACACATCACTCTTGTCGCGTTCTTCAGTGAATACCATAAATCGTTTTCGTAGTTCATCAACTTCGTTTTTTATCGTATGAATTTTATCTTGGACATCCTGTATGTCATCTTGAATCACACCTCTTACTTCCTATTGACCTGCTTGGATTTTGGCTTCGACGTCTTCTATTTTAGTTTCCAGGGCTTCTTGACCGGCTTTCATTTCTTGCATTAACTGCAGATTTTCTGACGTACATCTGGCCTAAAATTCCACTAATTGTTCACTTAAACACAACCCCACACCTGACACCAGTGTAATGTAAATTTAATTACGTCTTTTATTTATTTACCATTAATTAACAATAAATTTACAATAGCCTAAAAATGGATTAATTTATAACAGTAATTACAATTGATCACTCACAATTTATAACATAACAAGAAGCCATCGATGTAGGCACTGACTGAATCATAATGGGACTTGCTTGTATATCAAAATCCCCTCTTGCTTGATAGTTGGCGAACGCTTCCGGATACTTCCGAGCCTTTCTAAAATGTTCTCGAACATACTTCTCGGAAAGATTACCTCACATCCACCTTCGTCGTTACCGCCGATGACTAATCTTTCATGGTGGCTCGATGTCTATGGAAATTTCTTGAATGTTCGCTACACTATACTTTATCTTTTTGCTTTACTTTCTCCATCTCACGGAGGAATAATATTTTGTCATTTTAGCGCATTTTCCAACAAAGTTGGGTGCGCTATTTCAGTCAGTTTCTCTGTTCATCCGTCTGTACTCCTACAGTTTTCAAGATATTTAGTTCGTTCTTTTTGCATTCGGTAGCGTATAGCTTTGGCACTTGAGCCAAGGAGAATGTTGACGATTAAACTGCGCATGCGCAGCTGCGCAATGTCAACTTCCTTATTTATTAATATATGTTGTTGAAATTTTAACCACAGATACTTCTAGTAAAAATAAACATATCGCATATAGAACAAATCAGATGTGCGCATGCGCAGACTGCGCAATGCCAACGTTCGTATTTATAGAGATATTTCTTTGAAATGTTAACCAAAGATGAAGAAAAACATAGCGCACATAGCTATGACCCTTTGGGAAGTACTGATTAATTGATGTAAAATACGCTGAACTTACTCGCCTTATAGGGCGAAAATATGTGGTTAGCGAAAGCTATTTTTGCGTATTCAAATGAACACCAATCCCTAAAATCAGATAATTAATATTGGCCAAAGGTATTGTTATGAGCTCATTTAAAACCCCTGCGTATACGGTATACCACACTCCGTTAACTGCTATTAACCAAACAAGTTGTTTACATCATCATGACCACAGTTTGTTTGGGAAGACGCTTTAGAACCTTGAAATTGTATACAGCTTTAAAAATTCCTATTCCCTTATTTCTACGAGAACAGTTTTTTTTTAGAAAGTTCTCACAACTTTAAAGTTAAGTATATTTATACATATTTAACAAACTCTTTGTGGCATTTTAATTATTCGGTCACTACTTATAACTCTACAACTACAATAACTACTGTCCTTGCAATCATTTAAAACTGACTCTGTCTGCTTGTCTTTAAACACTCTTCAACAAGGTAATTTGGATTCTTCTATTGTGATCTCCGGAACAGTAACAGCTTTGTCATCTAGCTCTGGTCCTAGCTCTTCTTCTGGAACATTAGATATCATGCTGCAGTGTATATATAGTCTTTTGAGCGGTCTGAGTCTGAGCCGCTCTCCACGTTATGTTTTAATTCTCACCTTTTTTCTACCCACTAATATCGAATAGTGTTCCCGCAGCGCAGCATACCAAGCAAACTTTAACAAAACTCCTTATGTTTCTTCAAAATCAAGTTGTGAACGTGCTCACTGGACAACAAAATAGGATATCTGTAGTTTTTGTCTTGTTTTCAATTCTAAGTACGCCAAATTCATCATATCTGGGTTTCAAACTTTTAATCTGACTATCATCAAAACCAGAAGAACACTCTTTTTGCACCTCTTTCAGAATAAACTTTTCTGAGTGAGATCGCTCCACTATCATTTTCATGTTAGAGAAGGAACAGGATTCTGATGAAGTCAAAGAAGTCAAGAATCTTAGATATGAGCAAAATATAGATTTCCAAAGAAAAAGGATGTAGTGGTCGAATCTTAAGAATGTTAGTAGTTTTGGAAATCTATAACAAAAAATTATTTTCCGCTCAATTTAAATTTTGTCGATTTTCGGTAAAATATCAAGACTAAACGATTCGAGCAATGCTCCCATTGGAAATGAGTCAAGTGCACCTGCATTGCTGTAGCTAGTGGATTGGATAATCTGATAGTTGTAGGCATCTTAACTCCTGTTTCATTTATGATAACATGTGGAAATGCGCGTCGATACTAAAATGTGCCTGCTACACATTACTATATTTAAGACAATCTGATTTTCGGAATTGATAATGCAAAAGTATGACTCTCCCATCTCATGAGCACATCTAACACTCAAATGACACACCTGTTCATGCAGGCAAACATTTTAACCACGACGTAATTTTGAACAGCTTGAAAACCCCTACATTACATAATTTTAAACCTGCACCTATCGCAGCCGCTTTAAAGCTAATTTAGTTCCGAAATTGCGTATAAATTTTAAATACTAGAACAAAGAAATCAATTAAACGCTACAGTGTCGCAACTTTGGCACTTTAATAACTCAAGTTTTCCCATTATTTTGCTTCAACGAAGTTAGGCAAGTTTCCGAGGTGATATGATTTTGTGCCATTCTCGTTTTTATTGTATTTATTTTTATTTTACGATATACGTGAGGTATTTTACAAATGAACTTGAGTATGATACGGCCGTTAAATTAAAATATTTCCGGAGGCTCGATAGCATGCGAAAAAGAGACAAACCTTTCGCTGGAATAACTAATGGTGTAGGAATAATTTAGCTTTGAAAAAAATCGAGATAAACAAGCTCCCTGATGCCAATACAGAATTTTTTTTATTAGCGGCGAATTCTGCGCTTCCCTTTAAAATGACTAGTTCTTTTCAGCTGAATGTATCCGTATAAAAACGGAGTTGATTGAAAGTTCTATTCAAGGAGTTTCTTTTTTCTAATGCAGGTTTTCTAGAACGTAGGTGTCAAAGCTCGAATTATCAACTCAACTACGTTTCAGGCAACAATCTGCACCCTCGGGATTAAAACCCACACTTTAGTCCCTTGGTATATAATATATTATTGCTACTTTGTTGTAAAATAATTAGGGCAGAAAATATTTGCTGTAAAATAATTAGGGGAGAAAATATTTTAATATAAAGAAATTACTATTGAAATACCTATACCGGGGGAATATTTTAAAACCGAACATAGGCAAAAAAAACTTTTTTGTATATCGTTGCTCCGCATGTTAACTTAGAGGGTTTATAATGACACCAATCAAAAGAAGATTTTTTTTCTCGTCTAATATTACGAATTAGTTTATTTTCAGCTGTATTTCTCATTATTTTATCAAAAAATCGGCAATAAATCCAATTAGAAAAATCATGTTAAGCCATGGAAATTTCCTAAAGAGTTGAAATAGGTTTTTAAACAGACGGAATGGGACGCTCATTAAAATGCACGAAAAACAAATATCGCGTACTAGAGTAAATATTTCCGTTGTAAACGTTATTTATTATAAATACTTTTTTCCTCCGTGAACCGCATTTTACAAAAAAAGTAATGCCAGTTGTCATAAACTGATATTGATTTCGACGTTTGAATCTACCGTTTGTCTCACTAGTCATAGCTTAACATTATTTTGGTAAGTGGATTTATTGCGGAATTTTTGATAAAATCGTGAGAAATACACCTGAAAATGAACTAATTCGTATATCATTAGACGAGGAAAAAAATCTTATTTCGATTGGTGTCATTATAAACTCTCTAGGTTAACATGGGGAGCAAGTACCTATGTACAAAAATTCTTTTTCCCATGTTAATTCCCTATGTTTGGTTTGGGAATATTCACCCGGTGTGTAAACCAATTCTACACCCTGTATAAGCGAAAAGTTATACTCGTACAAGTTACAAACTTCTGTCTAAAATTGGACGACGAAAATGTTACATGTATGCGTTGGAATAATAGACATTTTGAATTCAACAAATTTACATACGTAATGTGTAACTGCATTAAACTGGTACATTGTGGAATGGAATACTCTGGAGAACTATGTGCATGAAAGCGATAATTTTAAGTCAACACATAATTGAGAATACTGTCACGCCAGCCAGCTTTTCATTATCTCTTTGCTAACTAATGAACAATAAACTTAATTCATCATACTCAATAAACTACAGAAACGAGCAAATATTTTATCTTGTACAAGTAAGTATAAAATGAAAACAATGTCATTTGTGAAAGTAAATCACTTAGGTAGTGATAGTGTATTACAGTTTCTGGTAGTGAAATTTCAGTTTACGTATGGAAAAGTGAAGCGCATTGTCGCACACGAAAAGTCTAAAACATATATGAGCCCAAACCTAGGCTCAGCTCAAACTTAGCACCTGCGGGTGTAACGGACGGTTCACCGTGTATCTGTATATTCTACTTATCCTTCGTTTCTCGGCGTCGCGTCCGTGTGAGGTATTTCGGAACTTACCTTAATTATAGGTACTTTTATTCTTCTAGATACATCAGGTAAATAAATGGGTAAATAAATAGGGAATAATTAAGTTACTTTTGATCTTCGCAGGTACTTTCAACAAATAATAATTACAAATTTGGGCAAGATATTACTACCGTACTCCAATGTGCTTGGAGGAATTCGTAAATAAATTGTCATTAATTCTCAAGTATATATAAAGTGACCGTGAGTTTTAAAATAGGTACGCCGTTGGATTTTAATTAGTATAAAGGACTATTGCCTTTTACCTTATGAATGAAGTCTCTTGATTCAGCGGGAGTTGTTGAACTTGATTCGGTCGACGAATCTTGGAATTTGTTCTGCGACTTGCAAATTGTCGATGTCGTAGATGGCCACGCCCTGGTGCTTTGAAATCTGCAACCATCCGCTGCAGTCTCCTCGGATAAATGGACTCCAGTAACTTGATTTTTTTAATTTAGATCGTCACTGCTCCCTTTGTCAAATTTAGAAACAAACGCTAGCGATAAAACTCGCAAGCGATAAACAAACGCGAGATTAAGTCGTTGGTCCTGTCAGAGTAAGTAGTTCGTGAACCCTTTTAACTGCGCGTTACTGTGATTTCACTTTTTAGGAAATTACGGTATATTTGCACGTAAATGGTGATTTCTTTCGCGCTGAGCAATCCGATTAGTTGGCAGTAATTTGAAATTCACTGTCTTTTTCACACTTAATAATTTGGTATTATTGTTCTAAAACGACAATAGTTTTAGGCGCTTTTTTTATATTTGGCAACGTTAAAAATGGCGCGCGTTCAAAACTTGCGCTTACAATACGAGTTCCACAACGACTTAATTCGCACTCATTAAAATTTACCGTCTTTTTCTCCCCGCTGCACATTTTACACCGCTCTCCGTCCAAAGTACATTTCCTCTATTCTAAATTTAAACTTACAACAAATGATACGTTTACAAAACCTAATATACATTATATACAGTTAATTACAAAATTTTATTCCTTCACGCCCAGGCCTAAAAGCATTATGTGCAATTTAAAATATTCACACCCATTACACGGGTAACCAGTTCTTGTTATGATGCGTATTCTTTTAATGAAATTATTGGTTTGAATTAATGATGAGCTAACAACAAATGTCCAATCGTTTCAAATGAAAAAGTATACGGTAAATCTTAAAACTGGCCGGTTCGGTTTGGTAAAAGTATAAAATTAAGTAAGTGACACCATTTCTCGCACATTTACCACATCTATTTGGTAAATCTCAGGTTGAACGTGTCTACCCTAGAATTCAAGAAATTTTGGACACATACAGTAACATGTCCATTTGAAAATTGTTCAATTTAACAATACATGGGCTTTTATGGAGAAACTCCCAGCCGGGCACAAACTTCGTGATAAAATATTATATTCGCATCATCTCGAGATGAGACTGCCCTTTAAAGATTCCTTGTTTCATTAGGAATCCAATAATAAAAAGCAAAGTGCTTGCCATTGGATTACCTTTCGAGCTTTCTTTAGTTCTCTGCATCAAAACGGGTCAGATAGTCGGAGGCGGCCGCCATGTTGGATGAAATATTTGATTACTAATACCATAATATAACACAATAGTAAAACAACGCGTTTGAATTTTGGTTAGTTCATATTTGTGATTGCTAGATGTCTCACGAGTCGGTATATTTGTAAAGTGGTGTGCGTCCATGATACAACATTCGGTGTTACCAATTGTAATTGAATCTTCCCTTCAGTAGATGTCGCTGAACCCAGTACAGTTAGCCATATGAAATGTGTTTAACTTCAACAGAGTAATATCTATATTACACTGGCTTACTGTAATACCACGCCAGGTGCATGCTACAGTTATCATTTATTTTTATAGATAGAATATCAATTCCATTTAATTCTTCGTTCCACTCATTTTAGTACACGTTTACGTTCCATTAAAGGTCATTATGGCAATAAAATATATAGGGAGTTCTTTATTATTAAAAGAGCTCCTATAAGCGAATTCATGATTTCTGTCCGTCTGTCAGTCCGTCTGTGTACCTACATGATAACTCCCGAACGATTTCGAATTTTCCAATTCTGTTTTCAGTAATAAGTAGGTAGACAGTGGTCAAGCGACTAAGTGATTAAATTTTGGTCAATACTCGTTAACCGTAAGAGACCTTGTCGCTCGTTGTCTATATTGGTTTAGTTATTTCCTTTTCTTCGTCATAAAATTATATTGGGTTGCGATTAATACATTCAACGGGTAATCATAAATAAAAGGTGCTTTTATCTATGATCTATGACGATTAATAAATTATACCACAGTATAATACATATTATGATTATAGAGATGTGCGGTTAATTGATAAAATGAGTGTTGCCGAAAGGGGAATAAGTACCTACAATAACAATTTTGTTAAAACCCAATGAACCAAATGGCCATGAAGTTGTTTCGGATGAGACCGATTCGGTCCCGGCGCTCATTTCAGTCACCGTCGTTTTGGGCCAACAATTTAATTGTGCTGAAACGAGCACTAACGAACTATTTTTTCTCCTAAAACGCAGCGTGAAAATTGCATGTCTCGTCGATAACTGATTACTTCACCAAAATGGTCAGTAAATTATTTTACAAAATTGAGCGTTTGCTTTAATGCGAACCTATTTGATTGATATTGACTTTACCAAAGCTTTGAATATAAATTTTATATTCAAAGACCAAAGTCAATGTTATTGATAATTAATTTTTTATACAAATGCCTTGGCACCAAATAAATAAAATAAACAACACCAAAAGTTTTAAATTTTTAGTTATTTGTACAACTAGACAACTAATTTTAACATTGGAAATGTTTTTGGTTTCGTATAGATATGTGGTGGTATATGTGCACAAAGTTACGAGTTTCGTTCACGCACAAAAACAATCATTGCCATGAATTTTAAGCTACACTCCACTTAAATTTGTCGGTGCAAACGTCCATAAGGTCCGGTTGTACAACGTCAGTTTAAACTTCGGTTCAGAAACACGATTGGTCAACATGCGAAATATTCGTTCTTAACGTTTTGACCTCAGCAATAGATTATTATATTTCTACCATGTACCATGAAGGACCAGCCCCTCTTTCCCCCAAGTCTCCATTTTGATAAGGCGCGAGGAAGAAAGGCGGTTTGTAGAAAATAGAGATCCTTCGTCGGTAATTTTAATTAGAGTGTCTTGAAAGATAAAACGAAAGCAGTCTCGAAGGAAATCTGTAATTTATAGAAACTAATTGTTTTCCATTGGACCTTTCATAAGAATACCATGAAGGGAAAATCGTAAAAATCCAGCCACAAATATGAAAGATAGCGTTGCACATGTGCAATCCATTTTTGACGTGCTACTTCAATTTCAGTTTATAAGAAGAATTTCAATGCTTTTCTAAATAAGAAAGTTGGAACTGCGCATGCGCAAATCTAAATTTTGAAACTAACGTTAGATTTTCCTAGTTTTCCTTGAGGTGACAGAGCTATAAGCTACCAAATGCAAAAAGAACGAACTAATATGGTTAAAATTTATATTTTGAAAACTGTGGGAATAGAGGCCTCGGTCGGACAGACGGACGACGGACAGAGAAAGTGGCTACAATAGCGCACCCACCTTCCTTGGAAAATGCGCTAAAAATATAAGCGGATTATACAAAGAGGAACAGGAACGTAATACAATTTTCTTGATTCGGCATTAGTTTTATTTTTCTATTCGAGGTGCTTACATACAAAATTTCATTTTCCCATCTTAACAAATAAAAAAATTAGATTGCGCAGATACAAAAGTTGGGGCAAATTTTTTATGCATCTGCGCAGTTTCTTGAGGTTTAAGGAATATTACTAAAACAAAAAACCGGATTTTCATATGTGCAAACAACAAACATAAAAAACCTTCTTTTCAGGTGTGTGCAGTTTTTGGGCTGTAACTTTTTATTCCGTTAGTCTACTCAGCTGAAAAACAATGGCGACCTTTCTTATATCCTTATGAATATGTGTACCCATTTTCAAAATTATCGGACGTTTCTACACAAAGTTATCGTGCATACGGGCGACAAACGGACAGACAGACAGACAGCAATACAAAATTATGAACGGTCTCGAGGATCGTTAATAAGTAATAACAAAGAATCAACGAACTCGTTAACGATAAATAAAGTATGGATACGTGCGCATGCAAGATGCATGTTTAAAAATGTCGTTAATATATTTACGATGATAAAGTAAATCGAGTACAATTGTAATCAGTAATTAAATTACAAATTTTGTAAAGTAGGTACCTAATCAATTACTGTAAATACTTTTATGATAAAGTAATTTGTAATCAGTATTCGAATAGTTTTTAGAGTAATCATTCCAGTTCTGCTTGTAAGTATAGTGCTTGATTATGACGATATGAAATAGGAATACGATATGGGAAGAATATTTAAACTCGATTACCGAACCGCTTAAACCGCCTTAACGTTCACTTTTAATACGACTTCTTCTAAAACGCGATAACTGGCGAAACTGACTGTTTTGCAAAAAGCTTCGATAACAGCAAAACTAACTGTTTTGCAACAAATAAGTTCGAATCGTTCCTCCTTCCTTAATAACATAATGGGCGCCTTAGAAAAATCAAACTGCGCTTGTGCTTTCTATAAAAGTGATCACACGCCCTTATCTTGAAATTTAATTAGCATACGCAGCAATAACAGTTCTTATCGCAGACCGGAGACAAACTTTTACACGCTTTTACTACTTAGTTAAGTATACAAATTAGTTACACAGAAGCACAGAAATTTTATTTCATCCATACATCTAATGTAGGGGCGTAATTTAATCATCAGAACATTTCAATAGATACAAAGATATTAAACCGCTTCAAAATTAGAATTAGTTGCCTTCTGAATCGGTAGACCAGTCGAGTTCGCTGTCAGTCGAGTACCTTCTTCGACGCGAGCCTTTTTTAGCTGTAAATCGTTTGGCAAATTTCACTGCTCTTTTTGAAATATCTTTCGTAAAGATAGGTACACCGCATCTGTCAAATAGAACTCATATAGGACAACAGTAAAGATAGAAACCCAATGGGTGAGTGTCGACAGTTGATCGCATGGTATACCTACATTGAAAATGTTTCCAAAATTTGTAAACAACTTACTTGAGCAGCCTTAGGTCCACCACTTTGCATGAATGCAACGCACATACTAAAAAAAATAAACTGAGTGCATCACTGCTCACAGTCAAAACTCCATCCGATTTTAGTATCTCCAAGTGGTCTGTTATACAGGTGGCGTCTACACCAACTACATTTGCGGCTTCGTATATATTATCCGGTATAGTACGTATAAATGTCATAAATTTCAACTGAAGAGGACACCAGAAGTCTGACACAAGAAGCTCAACCATTAGAACGGCAACTAAAAACTACAAGGCTACATATTAGTGCATGTTTGCATAAGAGAGTGTTACCTCTATAATTTCACCTGCAGGTTTTCTAAGGCTGCGAAAGCACGACGGATATGGGTTTAAAGGTACGTTCCAAAGTAAATAAAACACGGCCACGAGAAACATCAAATAGGTTTCATAAGGAATACAGTCTAAATTTGACGGCGTCCTAAATAGATATGTTCCACTGATATGCAGAGAGCACGCCGCCGCAATTGCCAAAACTCGACCCATACTGACAATTTTGACACCAAACGAATGACACTTTTCGTTTCTATGCGTTTGTACACCATCACAATGTCAGTAATATGTCAAAATATAATCTAGCAGTCTCGATCACGCGAAGACATAAGTATCTAGTATCTTATTAATCTTTTTGCAAAACTGGAACATTGCCATTTGTGTCAATAATTACAAACCATGTTTATGTAAATTTGATGACGTTAGCTAATTGAACAGTTTTGATAAATAGCTGCATGAATTTACCTTTCAAGATGTAATGTTTCTCGAACGTATTTGAAATTTTACCTTGTTACTCGAAATTCTGTAACGTATCTGTTACCGGTGAAGCAAAGGCAGAAACTTCTCACAACAAACGCTCTTTTTATAACTGCATAGTGGTAAATCCCATCACGTCTCACATTTTTAGATGTTGAGAAAGTTCAAAAAATAAATTTGTCAATCGTGATGGAAACGAAGCTCATATCTTGGTTCCTCGGATTGTTGAGTCTGACAGCCTTTTTAATAACCCTTGGGTCAGAATTTTATTAATCAATGCTTCGGAAAAAATGGCTTGTGTGGAATCCATTCGCTAATGTTTCAGCCCACGAAATTCCCAATGCATCATATTCGTTAATAATATTGTTAGTCGATTGCAGCTGGTTTTTGCAAAATTCCATGCAATCAACATTTCTTTTATTAATGTTAGGTACTCTTGCCTTTTAGCCTTGCGGTTAAATTTGTAGATTTTTGTATTGATGAACGAGGTAGTTTTGACGTTGAATCATTCGAAATCTGAAAAAAAAGAAGAAAAAAAGTATTAATTAATAGATATTTTATTGTAGTTTCCATTAAAAAAATGAAAATTGGGGTAAAATAGCGTCGGGATTTAAGAATAAATGGGAGTTCTATAACTTTTATAGGTGTGTGGACAATTCACGCCCGTATAATTCGCTCCCGGACAATTCGCGCTCGGATAATTCGCTCCCTTTGCTCGCTTTGGTTCTAAACACCAAAACGTTTTTCCGGGAGCAAATTATCCGGGTGCGAATTGTCCGGGAGCGAATTATCCGGGCGCGAATTATCCGGGTGCGAATTGTCCGGGAGCGAATTATCCGGGCGCAAATTGTCTGGAAGCGAATTGTCCGGAAGCGAATTGTCCGGGCGCGAATTGTCAGGGAGCGAATTTTCCGGGCGCGGATTGTCCTACAACCCTTTTATAATATCGTTGTAATGGCTCTTGTAAACGCAAATTATGAATTTATTTTCATTGATGTGAAAAACGGCAGACATTCAGATGGGGGAATTTTGGAGTATACAGAATTTTATCATAAACTGACGAACGGTGAGTTCTTATTTGTTTTATGCAACAAATTTTTTTTTTAAACAATAATTTTCCAGGTCAGTTACATTTGCCGGTTAATGATGAGACGGAGAAAAATCTGAATTTTGTTTTCTTAGGTAAATAAATAATAGCATTGACTAATTAGTCAATGATAATAGCCAAAGGTCTGACTCTTAGCCACCATGTTAAGGAGTTCCTAACCGACAAGGAACCGTGGAGCGAGAGAGCCGGACAATCGTGGAGATAGCCCGTACTTTCAAGTATGGGAAACCCGACGTCAAATAAATTGTTTGCAGCAATTTGGACGGAACTCGTCACAGCTGCTAGATATGTCTTCAATAGAGTGGGAAAACCCCATTTGCGGACAAGACGCCTTGGTGAGAAATCACGGATCCAACATCTACGCATTGTTTGTTTCCAATGCTACGTCCATCTTCCTGCACAGAAGAGACGAAAAGTGCATCCAAAAGCCTGTCTGGTCAGATATGAGGGTGATGCACGATAACTGATTTACATTCCTGAGAATGGGCGTGTTGTTGTTTCACGTGACGTCATATTTAATGATAAATCACCCGTGACGAAAGTGCTGAAGTGAAGAAGGATCGAGTAAACGAAGGGAGAACCCCGCTGGGGAGAAGCTTGACGACGAGCTACCTGTCGGTGAGAAACTTGTCAACGAGTCTATTCCAGACAAAGAATTGTGTAGTTCGGATAACATGTCCCGTGATGATTCGGATTCCTAATTCCCCCCAGAATGGCTAAAGGACTACGTCACATCCAGGAGTTCTTCTCATAGAAGACGAGTCTACGACCTTTAATGAACCAATCCGATGTAAGAATCTCGAAGAGTGGAAATCAGCCATGGATAGCGTTGGACAAAAAATCGATTAATCGATTATAATCAAATGATAACCGATAATTGGGTTTGATTATTCTTTTAAATTCATGGATTAATCGATTATTTGATTATAATCGATTATCTGATTAATCGATTATTTGATTAATCAAGTGCTTAATTACTCGATTATTTGATTAATCGATTAATCGGTATAATCATTCAAACTGTAATCGCCTACCCCTAGCCATGGACGCAAAAATTAAATCGATGCACTAGAACGACGCATGGGAATTGACAAATCTCTCTCCGGGCAAGATACCCAACAGAAATAAGTGGGTCTTTCGGATCAAGCGTAATCCTGACGGAAACACTGACAAGTATCGCGCGAGATTGATCAAGGACGTAGAGGACATCTTCATGAAGCAGCCCGAAGGCTATGAAGACGAGACAAATCATTACGCTATATAATGACCAGGTTACTGACGATGGATTAGTGGCACCCAACAACTAATTTGAGATGGACTTATTCACAAAACAACTACGCTCACAAATCGATATTGTTGTGAAAGAAGTATCCCACTTTGTGGGACTCAAAATTGTTCAACGCGATGGTGACATCATAGTCAGCCAATCAACGTATATCAAAAAATCCTTTTTAAATTCAATATGGGAGGGCGAAACCTGTTTTTTACACCGATGGAATAACTCAGCGTTCCATGTACAGAGAAAGTTCTTGGGTTCCCATATCATTGGGAGCTCTACTCTATGTAGCCCGCGAACCCCGTTGCGACATTCAGTATTAGTGTTTTATCACCTCGTTTGGGAAATCCTACAGAGGTAGATGTGGTAAGAGTAAAGAGAGTAATTCGCCACCTAGCAGGTACCATTAATCTGAAGTTGATATCAGGAACCCCTAACACCTCGTTACTGGAATGTTACATTGACGCGACTAAAGGAAAAGTGTGAAGAAAATAGAGTCAAATTTGGCTGTCTGGCATTCAATGACTTATTTTTTTTAAGGAATACAAAAATAGTAGTAGTACTCTAGTTCATTTAAAAGTTAGCGGTAGAAAGCTTGTGGGAAACTTTGACCTTCACGTGAATGGTAAAGCGCGAGTCAATAGTTACGCTGAAAAATTAAACGAGTGACGAAATTTGGAAGCTGGTAGTTTCTGTGCAACTAAACTTTCGAACTGTCATTAAACAGTTAATGTGAAAGAGCAAACGTAAGTGTTTGGCCCAGCCAGGCGCTGGATATTTTATTTTATAAATTTGGTGTTGGTTTGTTAATTTTTTCCTATGTGTGCTGATATTCAAACACAGAACCATCTACCTTCTTTCTGCCTTCTTACAATGAATGCAGTATAGTTGTTATTTCATCCTATCTAGTAATCGTCGTTTTGCCAGACTCATTTGGTAAATCGTATTTTACCAGACTGCAAATGTTGTCTGTTACCGGCACTATACCAATTGACAATATCAACTTTTTTTCCGTTGAATAACATCGCACACGAACGAAAATAAAAATATGGAAGCCAAAGCAACATTATACAAATTGATTAATATGACAGCCAGATCTTTATTTGTTTTAAGTATAGTTACTTTGGTTGTACAAAATAGGGCGCCCTTCAGAAAATTTTGTCATTTAAAAGTAGACATAGGGAAAAACAATACACGTAAATTAAAATTCAACGGAAATGGATGCTTTTAGAGGATTTATAATAAATTCATCATGTAATAATGTAAAACACTGCTGCTAAAGGAGATGTAGACAATATGTGACAAAAAGGACCCAGGTACCTTACTGTGCATACAAAGCCTACTGCGAAGTTTGTATCATATAAGCATTTTATACGATAAAAGCCTATTCTGTAAGTATATAACGGTAGCGAGTTAAAATTTAAATAAAATATACATACATAAAAGTACAGTAGTTAAACCAATAAGTATTAATTACGTTGTGATTCGCGGATACTGCGTTTATTTTTCCGGACTGTGAAAGTACCTGCATTAAACTGTGTATCTACCTCAGCGGACTAACTTTCCACCATATAAACAAAGATAATTGCAGGATAACTCATCCAAATGACCAAACCAAAACTATTCAATTAAACAGTTTCAAAACGCGAGAACTTTCCTATTGATTTACAATTAAAGCCCGACCATTTTCTGGATAATTAATTTAATTGTCTTACTTCGTAACTAATTCCAATCCGGCAGAAACGTTTCGCTAAAATTAAGTGAAATTTTATTATTCGGCAATTAGGACCATTTATAGGATAACGAGCTGATTTAGCGTAAAAGCATGGAAAATATAAGTGGCGTAGCTAACACAATTACAGAATTAATCTAAATGGGTGGAAACGTTTTGATCTGATTTCTGTGATAATAAATAGTACAGAAAAAAATGGCTTTCTGATTAGAAATTTGATTACCGTCTCTTGGCAACGCTTCCTTGTCCGGTTCGATACGGTGTTTATGAAGCAAATAGGTTTCTGAATCTAACTCAGAAATTCGAAAGAATAAAAACCTGGTTATAGAAAAAGATTAAAAAGGACGAATTTAGTTTGAAAGCGCTTTAAAGACATCAGCGTTTAGGGAAAACGACTTTAAAATCTATACTTTCATGGCACTAAAGACAATACGCTTACTCGAACGTGTGTCTGAATGCTTATTAAGTCCGTATTTGCATCATAAAATCCAATATTTACCTACACTTTGCAGTTTGGAAGAGAAATGGATAACATTTATAACATTTAAACTAGTTTCCTTTATGACTTCCTCCGCTTTGTCTTTATTACCTTGACGCATTGATAATTGTGATGGATTGCTAACGGTGGACTTTTTTCAGGGTCCAATTGTGACGTAGTATTTACAAGTGATAGCGTCAAAAATGGCAGTATCACCAGTCCCTTATATCCATCACCATATCCGGGGAGAACTATATGTCGATATGAATTTCAAGGACGAGGAAAAGAAAGAGTGCAGATTCTTTTTCAAGAATTTAATCTATATCATCCAAGAGATGATCGAGAGTAAGTACTTATTATATTTTTCGTTTGATTGCAATATTGACTTAAAAAGAGGTTCAAGACATCAAACAATCTGTAATTTAATTCGCTACGATACTTTATGTTGTAGCAATTCTCTAGGAGGAGAGAAAAGTTCATTATGATAAAATGCGGGCCGCTTTTTAACGGTTTAACAAACTGTTGACCTGCCTATATGAGATTATAAACGTTGTCAAGTTGTGTACCAGTAAATGTGCTACGGCTTGTCGTAAACTATACATCTATTGGTGAAAATGATAAATTGGAAACATAAACCTATTGGTATCATTGTGCCGCCTGTCTTTTACGATGCCCATTGACTTTATCTTGCACTATTATATAATCATAATAATTGACGTGCTCTAGTTGTCCAACTATCAAGAATTTATTTTTGAGGTTATTCGTGCAAGTAAATTAAAAGCATGCGAAGTGGCAAAATAGGTACTAATGTAGGACATCGTAAGCAACTCCACTGACACAAATAAAATACAATAAATAAAGGTAAGTAAACGAAACTAGGAAACTTCAATTCTGATTGACAATGAAAATGCTGAAAAAGGATTATTAAATCAACGATACCACTATTTTGGCGATTTGGTATGGCTTCGTAACTAACCGGTAAAGTACTTGACCAAATGAAATTTCGTTGAATAAATACGGATGTGAAAATGAAATAGTCATTGGTGACTATTTAAATTAGTACTTGTTCCCATCCCCATGTATTTTCATCTACATTCGTGACATCCAACATGGCGCCCCATTTAATACCACGCCCGAGTATTAACGTTAATCTTTTGTTGTATCGGAGATCGAACTGTTTGGTGGAAGATATGCCCGTACTAGTTAAATTCTCTAAACTACTACTAGAGATCGTGATTACACACAAGAATAAAATGACAATGTTCCTCTGTGTTGATATTAATTTTGACCAATTTATTACAAAGTTTTGTTGTGGGTAAATGCTCCGATTAATTGTCTTTAAATCCCGTGCCGTCTTCCGTTGTATACAAAAAATTTTTATTAACGAACTTTCGCCGGAAGTGAATGGAAAACGGCGGCGGTCCCATCAGGGTCCCGGTCGTAAAGGGCAAGCGGTGGGCGGCTACTGCCAAAACAATTTCCCTAAGCGAGATCAGTAAATAATCGGATTCGGTAGCGGTTTCTACGGGAAAGCAAATGCAGCAAATTAATGAAACGGAAAGTAGCAAAAAGTGTACCTTGCAATTAACGGATTGGTAGGAATTACTGTGCCAGAAAGAGATAAAGCTATAGTTACGGTGCAGTAAACTTAATGTAAACGCAAAAATTAAACGATATAAATGCCAAATAAATTTACGGAAAAGCTCAAAATTATGGTACATACAAAACGTAGGTAACTAGCGAAAATCCAAAAGGCAGAAAGATTTAAATACGGTTAAAACACCAAAGTCAAAATATGAAAAAGGCAAAAGCTTTTACGTTTCAGTTAAACACCAAATGCAAAAGATTTCTTACGTTTTGCTAAACCACCAAATGCAATAGATCTCACCTCCTATAAATTAAGCGTTTACTTCCAAAAATACTGAGAGGGAACGTAAAAAATTCCGGACTGGCCAGCGTATTCAGATAATACTGTCAAAAAATTACAAATTTTTTAATTAATTATGTCCTTCCCAGACGTTTTAAAAATACAGGGCCAACAAAATTCAAGTTTTTTAAGGGCACACCGAACGGATCTAATCTCGATTTAAGCAGGGGCTGTTATCTGTAACCCATTTAACTATAATTACTTATCCAAATAGTAGGAATTAAATCTGCAAATTTGGCAGTCCAGCAATGCCCTTTTGTTCCTTGGAATGTGAGGTCAAGCGGCGTAATCGGTTATCACCTGATACTGCACGACCTTACCTGTTTCAATCCTGGATTTTCGTATACCATTAGAAAACTAAAATCGATTAATGGGTAATTAACGGGCTTAAAACTTAATAAGATCTCTCTTCTTCATTAACAAGAGAGCTTTCAGCAACTGTAAAAACAATTTAAATATTCCTGAGGGAGCGGTTGCAAGCGGCAAATTACATGCAGCCTCTAATTTTCCGTAACGGGCGGCTCTACAAATTAACTCACTATTTCTACCTTATATTAACAACTCGTACACAGAAGTAGGTAGATATTTTCGGAGCGACAGTATTCGTAACGAAGTGCCCAACTTAAAACGTTTTTTGATACAGGGGCTTCATCTACAGAGTGATCACTACACTGGTAATTTCAAGACGGAAAACAAATGATTTGTTACACACTATCCGATGACATCACCAAACTTTAAGGAATTGACTTTTGTCCAGGCGCTGCTATTAGTGATCAAATGAATTCTTCGTTTACCACAATGGATTTTAAAATTTTTAATATCAGTTTATTTAATCCCAATTTTAATTTGAAAGGTTCTTCTTCGATTCGGAAATGTTCCTTCCCGTAAATTTTGTCAGTTATAAATTAACGGTCTTGCTACGAATTAGGCGATCAATCTGTTTTTTCTTTCCCCTCTTTGCGTAGTTAAACTCGTCGGTAACGCGCAAGCATACGAACGAAGTGGTACGAGATCACTTTTTAAAAAGAACCCAAATAAAAATTGTCACACATAAATCGTACGTGCTAACTATTTGAAAGTTTAGCCTCGTCTGGCGAAAACTCCCGTACAATCTCGTCTCCCTAGCTTATATTTCAAAAACAGCTTACGTTCATATTGAAATGCACACGTTGTTATCGCTTTTATTCAAGACATACAGTTGTTCACGTGCACTATGAAGCGGTATATGTGTAAATTTTTCCTATGTTTAACAAAGTAGGTACAAATTTTAAACAAAATTTTTCAAATTACAAAGTTACCACCCAATACACGCCATTCAACTGGCATTTCTTCAATAACTTTCTATTTTGAGTTTCATTAAATCAGTGGTTTTAAGAGGCGCGCTAAATACCATGATTCACCGTATATAAAAAAAAAACTAAATATTGGCAGATTAATTTTTTAATATGAAAAAAACGACCTACACCTAATTTGTTACATCGCCAAAATATTGTGCTCATTTTGTGCAAATTTGTACGCCGATCCCCAAATTTTGTGCGCTTTTCGTTTACGAGAAAATCAAAATTTTTCGTCCTTTATTATTGTGTCTACATGACACGAATACCATAGTTTTGTGCTCGTTTTGTGCTAATTTGTGCGCCTTTCATGTCGGAGTAATTCAAAATTTCTAAAGGGTGCCATCTTAACGTAGCACCCCTTACAATCGAAACGACTTGAAATCTATGGCATAGTTGTGTGCCTATTTTGTACTGATTTGCGCGCCTTCCGTTTCAAAGAAAATCACAATGTTCAGTTGGGGTGTACCTTAATGCTACAAATCATCACGCTCGTATCTTCATGACATAAACACCATGGTTTTGTGCTCCTGTTGTGCTGATTTGTGGGCCAATACTCACGTGTTATCCTGTGTTTTGAAGCAAATTAAAAATTGTTGTGGGAAGTTGCAAGTTAAAACAAATCCCCTGAATGCCTTAAAACATATGTAGGTAACTGTTTTATGCTTGTTTTATGCGCCTATACTCAACTTTTGCGCGCCTTTTCTTAACAAATTTCCTGTTGTTTGATTGGGGACGTTGGGGCCATCTTATATTATAGATCTTTCTGCTATTTGTGCTGAATTGTACTTAAAACTTGGAACTGTTGGAAATCAATGATAGATTGATAGACGTTTACAGTTTGAGATTCAAAGCTTCACACTTAGATCCTGTACATGCCAATCAACCTGTCAAAAAAAGTACTTCCTCATTAACAATGAGTACATTTGACAAAATTATTATGTTATTGGTTAGTCAGCATGAGTGATAAGTACGGTAACAGTACTTACTTAATATTTAAGTCGGATTGCCCTATTTGTATACTTATGAGTTATGGCACTTGTTTCGACATGTGTTTCGATTTCTTTATATACTACATAATTTTGGAAGGCGCACAAAACTCTGTCATTGGCGCACAAATCAGTACCAAATAGTCGATTTAGGGGGGTCCAGCCCGCATAAGGTTCACGCATTCTAATCTTGTAAAATTACATTTTTTAGTTATCCAAACCTCCATGATAAATTTTAGAAAAAAAACACACATATTGTAGTACTTATATTCGAAGTGTTATATTTAATCTATCGTCGACTGTACATGTACTCGTACATAGAGCCATTAGAGTATAATTTAAATTAATTATTAAAAATCGTACGCTTTAAAATCAAATTGTCCAGGATAAGTTCAGTGCCATTCTCTTATCAGTTATGGTTAAAAGGGTGCAAGACCAAACTAGGTCATGTCGTTGCAAAAATAATTTTCTCTTGTGACTCAATCTTTCATCAACTGTATGTGTGGCCGTAATGGGTAGGGTATAGATACTGCCTATACAACATAAATCACCACCTATTGGTATATGAACAGCTATAACCGCGTACCGTGAGCTTTCATGACGGTGGTGAGTTGGGGAGAGAGGGAGGTAGCTGTTTTTTCAAATCGGTAAATTTAATGACACGTATTGAATATAAGACCGAATGAGAATTAATGATATTAACTGATGCCACTTACTACGTAATAATTTACGAAGTTTTTCAGTCAACCCCTTTCTTTTGTTACTGTCCACTGGATAATCTCTAACCTACGTTTTCGTGCGTACTAACAAAAGTGGCAGGTCCAGGTGGATGATTAAAGATTGCCAATTATTGCATTTTGCAATAACGAGATTTGTGGAAACCTGGAAACCTTAACAAACTGCCAACCGAAAGCAAATAGCAAAGTAATATTAGCAAGTCGGAGAACTAATAGAGTTTTCTGTTTGTTATTTTAAAGTTTATCCCTTCGTCCACATGAGGATCCAGTTTAACTAGTAACTTGCGAGACGATCGTTGGAGGTTAAAGTTACACTCGCAATTAAATTAGTTACAACTGCACTGCGAAAGTTAAACTC